TTTCTCTCTCTCCCTTCGTCTCTGAAATCAATAAAAAAAAATATTTTTTTAAAATTGCATGTGCACTCTGGGGAGAGAGTTGTAGAAGCCAAGAATGGCCCAAGGTTGAGCCCTGGAGGACGCCACCAGTTCAGCCAGGCAGAGAGGAGACGGCAGCTGGCGAAGGACAGGACTAAGGACGAGTGTTGGAATCGAGTAACTGTGTGTGCGTGACTGCAGGTTTTTGTGTGCCTTGTGTTCTCACGGGTGCTGGGCCTGCTCCCCGTCCTTCTCCTACAAAGGCGTCACTGGGCTCTGCTTTTACCTCCAAAGCAAGGGGCTGGGAGGGGAGCTTACCTGGGCGGACTGAAGATGTCTCTGTCGTTGCCACCTTTGAAGTGGTCTCCTGGCTCTTTTCCATCCTCATAGTGGCGGGGCGTCTGGCAGATGTGTCTTACGCTGCGGGAGGAAAACGCTGACCGTGGCATTAGTATAGAGTCAGTGTGGCCAAGGGGATCACAGCCCTGCTCCGTCTCACACCAGTTCTGTGGTTTCAAGGAAACTCACTCACTGCTCTCCATTTCCCTTTCCTCCCCTGTGAAGCGCGAGTACACTGCCTATCTCCATACTTGTGACGGGACAGAGGTTTCTGGATTTTTCATAATTATGAGCAGGATAAAAATCCTCTATTAAAAGGAAAAGACTCCGTGATTGGGTCAGAAGGCGAAATCCAACTACAGGCACTTCTTACAAGCGATGCATCGGAAACAGAGGCCCAGAAAGTTAAACCTGCAGGATGAGCCGAGGTGCAGCAGGCCAGGGAGGCGGCTGCGTCCGGGAAAGGGCAGCACCAGGGCTCCTCGCGATGGAACTTCTGCAAATTAACTGTGACCCCGACCACACAAATCTACGCGTGTGAAAAGTTGCATAGGGCGACGTGCACACACACACACAAATGAGCGGAGGAGGCTGATGAGATCTGAGTAAGTGGTTTGTATCCACATCCACTTCTTAGTTGTGATATTAGAGTTCGTAAGCCATTGTTGGCGGGGAAATTGGGTAAAGGGAGGTATGTAGGATCTCTCTGTATGGGAGTCTCTACTTTTCTCAAAAAAAATTTTTTAAAATATATATATTTTTTATTTCAAGAGAGGAAGAAAGAGGGAGAGAGAGATAGAAACATCCTGCACACCCCCAACTGGGGATGTAGCCCGCAACCCAGGCATGTGCCCTGACCAAGAATCGAACCGTGACCTCCTGTTTCATAGGTTGACACTCAACCACTGAGCCACGCCGGCCGGGCCAATTTCCTCAAAATTAACACTGAAAAACACAGCTTGCACCTACGAGAACGGCCACAATCCGGAACACTGACAACACCAAATGCTGGTGAGGATGCGGAGCCACAGGGACTCCTGGTCATCGCTGATGGAAATGCAAAGCGGCCCGGTCAGCTCGGACGACAGCTTATCAGGTTCTCACAAAATTAAACAGTCTCACCATGTGATCCAGCAATCGTGCTTCTCGGTATTTTACCCAAAAGGAGTTGAAAACTTGCGTCCACACAAAAACCTGCACAGGGATGTCTGCAGCAGATTTACTTATGGCTGCCAATACTTGGGAGCCGCTAAGATGACCTTCAGTCAGTAGGTGAGTGGATGGATAAACCGTGGGACATCCAGACAACGGAATATTATTCGGTGCTAAAGGAAACGAGCTATCAAGCCATGAAAAGACATGCAGGACCCTTCAGTGCCTATTGCTAAGTGACAGTAGCCGGTCGGAGAACGCTACACTCTCTCTGATTCTGACCAGGAGACGTTCTGGAAAAGGTAACACTTTGCAAGTGGAAAGATCAGGGGTTGGGAGAAGGGAGGGGTGAATAGGTGGAACACAGGATTTTTAGGAAATTGAACTTTCCTGTGTGATACTCTAATGGGGATACATGTCGTTATACAGTCATCTAAACCCATAGAATGCACAACACCGAGAGTGAGCCTTAATACAAACTATAGACTTCGGCTGATAATGATGGGTCCGTGTGGGCTCAGTAGGGAATGCTGGTAGTGGGGGCAGCTGTGGAAGCGTGGGGGCAGGAACTATATGGGAAATCTCTGTACCTTCCCCTCAATTTTGCTGTGAACCTAAAAAAATGTCTATTTTTAAATACCAGACATTGTATGCAGACACAAAACTAGGAGCATTGCAGCATTACCCATAGTTTTAAAAGCCTAAAGGCCACCCAGCATTCTTTCCAAGTGGATTGGTGAGGTAAGTTACGGCGTATCTAGCCATGACATGAGACACAGCCATGAAACCGAAAGAGGCGGCTGTGGAGGGGGCCCCCCATATAAAAGATCCCTGTGCTTGTGCAGGCAGGACGCTGGCTCACCCCGTGAAGGTCAGGGCTGAAAGACACGCTTGCTTGTCACCGACACCCTCCTGTACGTTTTGTCTCAGCCATGTGTCTGCTTGTGATGCCAACACACTTTTAAAGACTGTCTGCTCCCGGGAGTGGGTGCAATAATGAGCCCCCAACTTTATGTCCAGCTGGAACCTCTCAGAATGTGACCTTATTTGGAAAGAGGTCTTTGCAGATATAATTGGTTAAGGATCTTGAGATAAAATCATCCTCGGTTGAGGGTGGGCCTAAATCCAGTGCCTGGGGTCCTTATAAGAAGAGGAGAGGACACAGAGAGACACAGGAAAGAAGGCGATGCGCTGACAGAAGCAGAGACGGGAAGGGTAGCACCAGGGGTCCTTATGCTCAAGGACTGGACTGAGCCAATGGCTTGGGGGGCGGGGTGGGGGGCGGAAGCTGCAGAAGGCAAAGAAGGCTTGATCCCCTCTAGCGCCTGCTGGGGGACATTGGCGCTGCTCACACCTTGGTCTTGGACTTCTGACCTCCCCAACTGGGAGAGAACACATTTCTGCGGTTCAAGGCCTCCCAGTGTGTGGTCCTGTTCCTATGGCAGCCTTAGGAAAGGAACACATGGCTCTCATCTCCACCCCCGCCCTCCCGATCTGTGCATCCCCACCCCCTTGTCGTTGGCACTGGCTCCTGGGGCTGGTGGAGAAATGGCATCTTCCAGATATGCCCCCTCTCTCATGACCTCCTCCTTCCCCCCATCTCTACCCCCACCCCCTGGTCATTGGCACTCGCTCCTGGGGTTAGTGGAGAAGTGGCACCTTCCAGATATGCCCCCTTTCTCATGATCTCCTCCTTCCCTCTCTCCTCCTCCTGTTCTACTTCTAAAAAATCTTAGAAAACAAATCCTCCTTTACCTATTTTGACGTCACAAAAGCCCTTATAACCCGTTTTCCTCTAATTACTTCAATGAATGCAGATTTACAATAGACATTCCAGAAACAAAGAATATGATTCATCTGAACTCTCACCACACGGAAATAAACACTGCCAGCCCTTGATTTTACCAGCAAAACCAATTTAGACTCCTACTGCTCCTGCAGTTTTGCATGAATTGTTGTCACTTAACATTATATTCTAGTGGCTCCTCATATTACTAGAGCGTTTCAAACAGCTTAGAGGCCCTGTAACATCTCACCCTGTGGAGGTATCCTTTCGTATTTAATTGCTCCCCTGCTGTGGAATCCCTGGGTTGTTTGCAGTTCCAGTTTTTCTTTTATGAATAACTTGATCCTTATAGAAATGTTGGTCACATGTTTGGTTATTTTTGGGGGATAGTCTTTGAGGTAGAATTAATGCATCAAAGATTTTTTCAAAAAAGAAAAAAAAGGTTTTCACCTCTCTGGTTTATAAAGCTGGGTTGGGAGGATTTGCCTCCAGGGTGCCCATGGCCTATAATATAAGCCAGACATGCACCTACCTACTTTAGGCACCTTTAATCCTCTCTGAGGGCGTGAAATAGATGGTAATGTTATTCCCATTTTACATATCGGGAAACTGAGGCACAAGGAGACCGATGTCACCCAGTTGCTAAGTGGGAGAGCCCAGCGTGATTCCAGTTGATCTCAATCAGGGGTGAGTTTTCTCCCCAGGGGACATTGGTAATGTCTGTAGACATTGGTGGGAGGCAGGAGTGCTACTGGCATCTGAGGCTGCAATGCTCAGGGCGGCCCCAAAGAGAATGACCCCGTCCAGGACGTCAGTGGTGCTGAGGCTGAGAAACTGCCCTGGAGCCCTTCTCCACCAGCACCTGTGACACCCAGTTCTCATGTTAGTCCTCCCGGGCGGGCGAAGGGCAGAGGAGACAGCAGGGAGCTCTTTGGTCCAAACAGGTCCCCTCCCTACTGACCTCCCCGGATGTGAGAGGAGACAATGGGGTTGATGGCTGGATAAGCCATGTTTCGTTTCCTTTTTTAAATATATTTTTATTGATTTCAGAGAGGAAGGGAGAGGGAGAGAGAGATAGAAGTACCAATGATGAGAGCGAATCATTGATCTGGCTGCCTCCTGCACACCACACACTGGGGATCCAGCCCACAGCCCTGGCATGTGCCCTGGGAATCGAACTGGTTCATAGGTTGATGCTCAACCACGGAGCCACGCCAGCCCGGCTGAGCACTCATATTTCTGACGGTCTCTGTGTGCCTGCTTAGGGAGCCTTTAGTCCTCCCTGCACACCAACTCCCCCAGCATCCACTCTAAGCAAAGGTGGGTGACTCTGAAAACACAGCTTGGGGCCAGGCCCCCTCCTTCCCACAACTATCCCAAAGGGACCTACAATCCAGGAGATGCTGGGGTTGGCTTTGCACTTTTCACAACTCACCCAGCCTCTTTTCTCCTGCAAAGACGGCACCCCTAACCCTCGCCTGCAGGGAGCTCCCAGGGAAACACCTGTGTCTAGAGGTCTCCCACACTCTGGGAGCCAGGCCCTCTCCCATTAGGACCCTGGGGTCCCCCGGCCCATTGGAGGGGGAGAAACTCAATTTGGTTGGTCATATCACCCCTTAATCAGGTTTTCCTTTAAAGCAGCGGTCGCCAACCTCCAGGACCTCATGGACCACCGGTGGTGACCACTGCTGTAAACTTCACAGGGCCCATGAGGGAGAGATTCCCGTCCAGATTTATCAAAGAATTCACACTGCAGTCCTGGCCGGGTGGCTCAGTTAGAGCATCGTCCATATGCCCAGGTTGCGGGTTCGATCCCCAGTCAGGGACACACAAGAATCAACCAAAGAATGCACAAATAAATGGAACAACAAAACTCTCTCTCTCTCTTTCTCTCTCGCTCTCTCTCTCACTATCTCTATCTCTCCCACTTCCTCTCTCTCTAAAATTCAATTTAAAAAAAAAAGAAAAAGAATTTCAACTTCAGACCCTTTCCAGACTCATGTGTTCATAACTGGCAGGACAGGGAGGGACTTGAACCCTAGCAGCGCTGACCACAGCTCCTGGCCTGTAGCCCACCCCTCAGGCCCCAAGCAGCCCTCCCCCCTCTGCGTGTGCCTCACCTGCTCTCCCTGCAGCCTGTCCTCTGTCCTCGCCTCTCTGGGGCCTCAGGTCCACAGGGCGCTGTGAGCGTCCGTCCGTCCAGGCTGCGAGGACAATGAAGACAGTGCCCAGGGTCCAGCGGGTTTTGCTAACCAGGCACAGGCGCAAGCGCCACCCCCGGTCCCGCCCCTGGCCTGAGCAGGGATTGTGAAACTGCTCAGGGTGAAAAGTTCTTGGCGCAGAGAAGCCAAAGGTCCTCAGCACCTTCTCTGAGAAACACGGGGGCTTTCCCATACCTGGCTTTTGCTTTCGCTTTCCTTCTTGCTTCTTTTCTAGTAGATGTGAGGGGAGGGGGCCGTGCAACCAAAGGCAGAGGGCTGTGAGAGGGTGCAAGGACTCGGAAGTGAGCCGTTCCTCAACCGCCTTGGCCTCGATTCCCCATCTGTGAAATGGGTCTGAAAACAGCTCCTGTGGCACAGAGCCACGGTGAGGAGCCACGAGCAGACCACTCAGAGCCCGTGTGGAATGAGCAACCCACAGGGGCAGCTGTAAGGATTGTTGTCACATCTCTGTTCCACGGTGGGAGGGGGGACAGGAAAGCTCCCACACCTTACCTGAGGTGTGAAGTGCCAAATGCTCAGAACACAACTGCTTTCCTGGCTCATGGGGTGGTGAAATTTGACCTGAACTAGTGCAAGTTTATAGTTTTCACACACCCCACTTAGTTCGAATATTCATTGTTTCACTGCGAAAATATTGACTGTGCTGGACAAGGGAGGGCTGCTGAGATGTTACCCAATGTATTGTTAGGGTCACGGAAGGAGGAACGCAGGAACCCAAAGAGGTGAGGGATTATAAATGTACTAGAGGCCCAGCGCACAAAATCGCGTGAGACCCAGAAACCAGACCCCGAAACCCGCTGCGCTGGCGGGACTCATCAATGCATCTCCTGGTGACCGGTCGTTTGGTCGTTACAGTGTTATGGGCACTGGCCTTTTATAATATAGATTAAGTCACCTGGATACCAGATGGGCTGAGCCCCCAAATGGTGCCAGCACCCAAAGACTTTTAAAGGGCTCTAGGCGGGCTTTTTCTGGGCGGAGAATGCTCTGTGTGGGTCTGGGTTCTGGTGAAATCCGGAGAGGAGATGGTCTTAGCAAGTGGAATGTCCATACTGAAGTGGCCTAAATGGCAGTTCCCAGGGGAGGGGGTATCGATTCAGTTATTTGATCAGACCTAACATTATACTATCTGCACCCCCAAAATGGGAAACTCCAAAACACAACTGGCCACCATGATTTAAGATCTAGGATGGTGGTCCCCGACTCTCCCATTTTGCAGATGAGGAAACTGAGGCACAAGGAGACCGATGTCACGCAGTTGCTAAGTGGGAGAGCCCAGCGTGATTCCAGTTGATCTCAATCAGGGGTGAGTTTTCTCCCCAGGGGACATTGGTAATGTCTGTAGACATTGGTGGGAGGCAGAGGATGCTACTGGCATCTGAGGCTGCAATGCTCAGGGTGGCCCCACAAGAGAATGACCCCGTCCAGGACATCAGTGGTGCTGAGGCTGAGAAACTGCCCTGGGGCCCTTCTCCACCAGCACCTGTGACCCCCAGTTCTCAGGTTAGTCCTCCCAGGGGGTGGGGGGGGGGCAGAGGGGACAGCAGGGAGCTCTTTGGTCCGAACAGGTCCCCTCCCCACTGACCTCCCGGATGTGAGAGGAGACAATGGGGTTGATGGTGGGGTAAGCCCTGTTACTTCATTTGAGGGCTCACATTTCTTTTCCTTTTTTAAATATATTTTTTTTTATTTCAGAGAGGAAGGGAGAGGGAGAGAGAGATAGAAGCACCAATAATGAGAGCGAATCATTGATCTGGCTGCCTCCTGCACACCACACACTGGGGATCCAGCCCACAGCCCTGGCATGTGCCCTGGCTGGGAATGGAACTGGTTCATAGGTTGGTGCTCAACCACGGAGCCACGCCAGCCCGTCTGAGCGCTCATATTTTGACGGTCTCTGTGTGCCTGCTGAGGGAGCCTTTATTCCTCCCTGCACACCAACTCCCCCAGCATCCACTCTAAGCAAAGGTGGGTGACTCTGAAAACACAGCTGGGGCCAGGTCCCTCCTTCCCACAACTATCCCAAAGGAACCTACAATCCAGGAGACACTGGGGTTGGCTTTGCACTTTCCACAACTCACCCAGCCTCTTTTCTCCGGCAAAGAGGGCCCCCCTAACCCTCGCCTGCAGGGAGCTCCCAGGGAAACGCCTGTGTCTAGAGGTTTCCCACACCCTGGGAGCCTGTCCCTATCCCTTTAGGGCCCTGGGGTCACGGGCCTATTGGAGTGGGGGGGGGGGGAACTCCATTTGGTTGGTCATATCACCCCTTAATCAGGTTTTCCTTTAAACCAGTGGTTGCCAACCTTCAGGACCTCATGGACCACCGGTGGTGACCACTGCTATAAACTTCACATGGCCCGTGAGGGAGAGACTCCTGTCCTGATTTATCAAAGAATTCGCACTGCAGTCCTGGCCGGGTGGCTCAGTTTGAGCATCGTCCATATGCCCAGGTTGCGGGTTTGATCCCCAGTCAGGCACAAAGAAGAATCAACCAAAGAATGCACAAATAAATAGAACAACAAATCGATGTTTCTCTCTCTCTCTCTGTCTCTTCTTTCTCTCTCCCTTTCTCTCTCTCTAAAATTTAATTTTAAAAAAAGAAAAAGAATTTCAACTTCAGACCCTTCCCAGGCTCACAAAGTTCATAACTGGCAGGACAGGGAGGGACTTGAACCCTAGCAGCGCTGACCACAGCTCCTGGCCTGTAGCCCACCCCTCAGGCCCCAAGCAGCCCTCCCCCCTCTGCGTGTGCCTCACCTGCTCTCCCTGCAGCCTGTCCTCTGTCCTCACCTCTCTGGGGCCTCAGGTCCACAGGGCACTGTGATCCTCCGTCCAGGTTGGGAGGACAATGAAGGAAGTGCCCAGTGTCCAGCGGGTTTTGCTAACCAGGCACAGGCGCAAGCGCCGCCCCCACCCCCGCCTCCGCCACCTGCCCGCAGCTGCCAAGCTCTGTCCTGAGCAGGGATTGTGAAAAGGTCAAAGTTAAACATTCCTTGCACAGAGGTTCTGAGCACCTCTTCTGGGAAAACAGGGCTTACCGAGAAGTGGCTTTTGCTTTCACTTTCCTTCTTGCTTCTTTCTGTAGTAGATGTGAGGGGAGGGGGCCGTGCAGCCAAAGGCAGAGGGCTGTGAGGGTGCAAGGACTCTGAAGTGAGCCGTCCCTCAACTGCCTTGGCCTCTATTCCCCATCCGTGAAATGGGTCTGAAAACAGCTCCTGTGGCACGGAGCCACTAGCAGGCCACACAAAGCCCGCGTGGAATGAGCACCCACAGGGGCAGTGTAAGGATTGTTGTCACATCTCTGTCCCAAGGTGGGAGGGGAGGACAGGAGCGCTCCCACACCTTACCTGAGGTGTGAAGTGCAAAATGCTCAGAACACAACTGCTTTCCTGGCTCATGGGGTGGTGAAATTTGACCTGAACTGGTGCAAGTTTATAGTTTTCACGCACTCCACTTAATTCGAATATTCATTGTGTCACTGCGAAAATATCGACTGTGCTGGACTAGGGAGGGCTGCTGAGATGATACCCAATGTATTGTTAGGGTCATGGAAGGAGAAACACATGAGCCCAAAGTGGTGAGGGATTATAAATGTACTAGAGGCTCAGCGCACAAAATGGCGCAAGACCCTGAAACCTGCTGCGCTGGCGGGACCCATCAATGCCCCTCCTGGTGACTGGTCGTTTGGTCGTTACGGCGTTATGGACACTGGCCTTTTATAATATAGAGTAGTGGCCCGGTGCACGAAATTCATGCACGGGGGAGGGTGTGTTCCTCAGCCTGGCCTGCACCCTCTCCAATTTGGTACCCCTCGAAAAATGTCCTGCCAGTTTACAGGGATTGGGCCCGGTGCAATGCACGGGGGAGGGTGTGTTCCTCAGCCTGGCCTGCACCCTCTCCAATTTGGTACCCCTCGAAAAATGTAAAAATGTCTTACAGGGATTGGGCCTAAACCAGCAGTCGGACATCCCTCTCATAATCCGGTACTGCTGTCCTGATCACCTCCAACTGACCCCCACTGATGGCCTGCTTGCCCCCAACTGGCCCCCCTGCTGGTCTGCTTACCCCCAACGACCCCACCCCCCCCAAGCCTGATCACCCACAACTGCCCTCCCCGCTTGGCCTCTAACCGCCTCTACCTCGGCCCTGCCACCATGGCTTTGTCCAGAAGAACATCTGGAAGGTCTCCTGGAAGGTCTCTCAGTCTAATTAGCATATTACTCTTTTATTAGTATAGATATATTTGTCTGTAAATATGATTATGATTGCAGATATGAGTAGGACCAGGTAAAAATTTATAGAATGGGCCTTTTATTACAGATGGTTTGCCATGTATGCATTTTTT